TTTCCTGACAGTACTGAATTGTCGCCACTTCGTTGCAAACCCCTGCTCTGGCTGCGGGCGAGAGTTCCCAGGCATCGCGATGTGGAGCTGCCCTTCCTGCTCACTAGTCACAGTGATGAGCGAATGAGCACCGATTGTGCAGCAGATACTTCACCGCAGAAACGTGATCTACGTGCAGAGTTCACAAGGAGTATTTGTGGGCAAAACCCATCTTGAAACGGAGAGTCATCTTTCTATTGAACTAAAGCAGGCCTGCTTGTTCACAGTGTCACTTCTCCTCTGCCTCGTCCTGAACTACAGAACACAGCGCCGCACGTACCTGGAAATTCGGTCTATTCTGCGACGTCAACAGGAGGTTTCCCAAGTCCAAGTGCACATTTGACTCGTGTCGTGGTTTGAAACGCCCTGATCAATGCTGATTCTCTCTCACCCTGAAATTAAAACAGCGCTGTAGCTCCCCTCTAACCCAGGTGTGTGTGTGTGAAGACAGGACACGCACTGGACCGGCCAGAACCTGGACCAGACACGAACCCAGGGCCCGAACCGCCGGACGCCGTCACTGGCCTGGCCGCTCCAGGGGTACCAGTCAGAGCCGCAGGTCATGCCCAGTGTGCCAGCTCACCGGTGGCATCGAGCAGCAGGGGGACAGGGGGGACAGGGAGAGGAGCAGGACAGGGAGCCGTCCGTGAACACGCCACTCAGGGTCCTGAAGTCTTCCCCTGGAAGAAACACAAAGACCCGTCTGACCATGAACACACTGTCCAGTGGCCGCAGTACCACCTGACACTGGAACAGACCAGGGAACTGGTTCCACTCCCAGTTCGGTCCACCTGGAGCACGGCGCCGGCCACTGGGCTGTCCAAGCACCGGGCCAACGAGATCCCGGCCTCGCTCCCAGACAAGTCCGCTCAGTCCTGGGACTGCTGGGTGGGTACCGCAGGATTATTCCTGGATTCGCAGACAGAGCCTCAGTCCTCCAGGACCTGACTGGAGAGACAGCTGAGTAACAAAGCACACCGGACCAGAGAGCACAGCAGACAGGCGTTACCGACTGGAGAGACGCCGTTGTGCTCAGAACCTGTGCTGCAGTGTTCAGGCTCCGTCTCCCTCACCCTCGGCTAGGAACAGCCCCCTCCTACCCGTCTTCCCAACGTCAGCCTCTGGACATGCTGGAAAATTAAGGAAAACAGGAAATCTGCCGTGTACTGGAGTCGCTCCTGACCCTTGACCCCTGACCCCGTGGTTTGTGGGTGTTGACATCAGAGAGCAGGAGGCGGGGGTGTAGGCTGAGCAGCTGTTTCAGGAGTCTGAAGGCTCTGCCATCTCAGACAGAGCCCAACCTTCACTCGTCTCTCAAGACGAGCTCGCAGGAGAAACAGACCATAATGACAACTGTACAATAATATTACACCTGAGAATCACAGAGGAGCCAGTTAGTTAATGAATCAGAGACGTCTGAACTCTCCTCTGCTCCTGATGGTGGTGTAGTGCATAATTAGCACCGATAATTAGATTCTAATGCTGGTGCTGCTAGTGAATTAATTTGACTAATATAAATGGTAATAAAATTAACAATATTTCATCATGTACCAATATCAATACTGGTGGAGCATTAACAGTTCTCCTCTCACTAGTAGGGTTGTGTGTTCCAGCCCTGGGTGTGACAGGACTAACCTGACCTTGTGCTCGAGCTGGACTCGGGTTCGAGAGTGTAGTGTCAACAGCACACTGACCAGGTCCTTGTGGGCGAGAGACAGCAGGAGGTCAGGACACAGCCCTGAGGGTCACCCCCTGGCACCCCGACAGGAGGAGTCCAGCTCTCCACCTGGACCAGGGGCATCTGCAGCTCTTCAGCATCGTCACCCTCACAGGCTTAAGCGGGCAGGGAGCGACCTGTCTGGCACCTTGTACCCTTCTGTGCTGATGGGGGTACCCTGTCCCATCTTGTACAACCAGTCACACACCCCCTTGTCCTGTGCAGGTCTGGGGGTGCCCTCTCCTGCCTGGTACAGGGTCTGACCTGGCTCCTGGTGGGAATAAACATGCCTGAAGGCAGCCTGTGCTCCACCGAGTCCCGACTGCTCCGGTCCAGAGCTGCTGTTCTGGTGACCCGTCCTGGAGAAACACAGGCGTGTTGTCCACAGGCTCTCTCTCCCCTTCCTCACCT